CACAAGCTACTTCGGCACTTCAAGCAGAAGCATATGGTCTCAAGTTGGCAGCGATGATTCTATACAGGTTGAATATTCTAGATGCAACTATTTTAACAGATAACATCACACTAGCAAGAGCAGCAGCTGCAAGATCACCAAGGAATGAGCCAGGACATTGGCAAATAAGAAGTATACTTGCTGATTTTTGTGCTTTAACAGAGAATATCCATGTAAAGGTATATCATGTTCCTAGGGACCAGAATATAGAGGCTCACTACTCTGCTAAGATGGCAAATGAACATGTCATGGTAGGGACTTCTAGTAATAGATTCAGCTGTACTAATCGTGTTCATGTTCTTATGAAATGTCCTTTGCTAGAAGCCGTTGAAAAAGTACAATTGCAAGGGCTTGTAATCAGTTATGTAAATTGCTTTCAAGATGATGAATGAAAATTTGGCGCCTCAGGCGTCTTTGCTCGTTCAAAAAAAAAAAAGAGAGCAAGGCCAACATCATCCACGAGCATTACTCCAAGATTCTGGGTTGCAGACAAGTTCTGCCTTGCACCATCAACTGGGCTGAGCTACAGCTGCCCATGGTGGATGCCGAGGGCCTCCTGCTGAGAAAGCTCCGGGTCCGGACGGGTTTAATGGCCAGTTTTTCCGTTCCTGCTGGGACCTAATCAAGGATGAGATCATGGCTGTATTCAACCAATTCCACAGCCTGTCAGGAGCAAACTTTGCCAGGATTAACACGAATCATCAACAAGAAATCCAAGAAAGAACAGCAAAGGAAAAACAGCTTTTGTCACGCTCCTGCCAAAAAAAAGATGATGCTGAAGGTGTGGGAGACTTCAGGCCCATAAGCCTGATCAATTCAGTGCCAAAACTCATCACCAAGGTTCTGTCGATGCGGTTAACAGACAAGATGGGATCCATCGTATCGCCGGCGCAGAGTGCTTTTCTCAAAGAAAGATGCCTGCAGGACAACTACCTGAATGTCCGGAACTCAGTTCGTTCCTTGCACAGAAGGAGGAAACCTGCTCTATTGATCAAACTTGATATAGCCAGAGCTTTTGACTCAGTTTCCTGGGAGTTCGTTTTGGAATTACCGCAACAGCTGGGCTTCGGGCCATGATGGCGGGATTGGATCACCATGCTCCTCTCCTCAACGGCATCCTCCTTCCTGCTGAACGGCACACCTGGTAGTTTCATCAAGCATTGCCGGGGTCTTCGCCAAGGGGACCCTCTCTCCCCCTTGTCTTTATCCTGGCAATAGATGTGCTCCACCGGTTAATTGCCAGAGCAGCTGAAACTGGCATTCTAGCACCTCTACCTGGCCGTGAGCTTAAACTGCGCGTCAGCCTCTACGCAGACGACGCGATCATTATCGCAAATCCTATGGAGGAGGAGATTGACAATCTAATGGAGATCGTCAACAGGTTTGGGGACGCATCGGGGCTGCATCTCAACATCAACAAGTCCTCAGTCACGCCCATTAATCTTCAACAAGTCCTGCAGAATTTTGGTGGCAGCATTACTGATTTCCCGATCAAGTACCTTGGCCTCCCAATCATTTTGGGGCGTACCAGACTCGTTCATCTTCAGTTCATCTTGGACAAAATTAGAGCTCGCTTGGCCGGGTGGAAGGGCCGGATGATGTCTATTGCTGGGAGGAGAGTGCTAGTCAGAAGTGTGTTGTCCGCCATCCCTACCTTCGCCCTCTCTGTGTTGCGCCCACCCAAAGGAATCTTCAGAGAAATCAACAAACTGCGCAGGCGGTTCCTATGGGCACAGGATGATCCGCTCAATGGTGGACACTGCAAGGTGGGATGGAAAAAGGTATGCTCTCCAGTTGATCGGATGTGCTTGATCTCAATAAGTTTTCCAGAGCTTTGCGCCTCAGATGGATATGGTTATCCTGGCAAAGTAGTGACCGCCCTTGGAAAGGCTCTGAACTTCATTGTGATGCTGGAGACTGGGATTTCTTCGACAGAGCAACATATGTGACTCTTGGCAATGGTCAGATTGCCTCGTTCTGGCGATCTTCATGGCTTTACCTCTCCCTGCCTGGCAACTTTGTTCCCGGACCTGTACAAGCACTCTAGGGGGAAACTCAAATGTGTGGCTGATGCTTTAACTAATGACACGTGGATTAAAGACCTCAAGCAACGAGCAAATACTGAACTAGCACAAAATTTTCTTATTCTTTGGAGAGCAATCAGGACAGCAAATGTGATCTTGCAGCCCCACTCTGAGGACAATCACATGGAGGTTACACACCTCAGGAAGCTACAGCGCATCCTCTGCTTACAATGCCCAATTTGAGGATTTGCCAAGAACTGATTTCAAGTCTTTGATCTGGAAAACTTGGGCCCCTGGCAAGGTTAAATTCTTTTTCTGGCTCCTGCTTCAGAACCGGTTATGGTGCAACGATAGATTACAACGTAGAGGTTAGGAAAATAACTACTTCTGCCCACTTTGTATGAGGAGCCTTGAATCCTCCACCCATTTGTTCTGGGAATGCCCGCTGTCAAAGGAGATTTGGCGCCGCACCTCGCTCTGGCCGGGCTGTGGAAAGCTCGCCATCCTAACCGAAGACAGCAGCCCCACCTCAGAGCAACGAGTCTGCAACCTGCTCCAACAAGCAAGACCAAACCTCAGAGCAAAGCTGAAAACAATGATCTTCTTTTTTACCTGGCGCATCTGGCGCGAGAGAAATAATCGTACTTTTCGACACACAAACAGCCAGGTTTGCAACATTGTTTCGACAATCAACTGTGACATGGATTCCAGGAAGCTAGCCGGAGTGAAGTGCCTCAAGACAGTAAGACACCGTTAGGAGATCCAGGCTAGATAGGCAGGTCCTTCTAGGACCATGGTGAATCTGTTTTCACCAATTCTGTAACCCACCATGATCACTTGATCATGAACGATTTTTTCCATTCTCTCCCTGCTTAATTCATGAATGCCGGCGATTGTCGGTTCTTTCAAAAAAAAATCGTGTACGCTTCTGTATCTACTATTTATTGGGATAATTTTCCATTGGTGTACTTTTCAGAGAAAAGAGACGGCTTCTGAAAACAAAAAAGGCTACTAGCTTCGTGCATATCTTGACTGTTGCTATTTCTATTTTGTTCCATCATCCTCTTTGTCAGGTATACCTATAGTCTGTTGCCGCAGTTTGAGATTCAGCAAGGAACTGCAAAGAGATCCAGCTGTTTTCTTTAGTTACTGATGATACCTGAGTTCTGAGTATGTATATACATCTTGAGAGATGTGCAGCAAGAGTGGTGCTCTGCTGCTGGAAAAACAGGGGGCGGAACTCCAGTAGCAATATAAATAGGCAGCCAAACAGGCAAAAATGACCATTCGAACATAAAAAAAACAAAACGATTGTTGCAGTTTGAAACAGTCACAAGGCAAGACAAACACAATAGTAGTCTCAAGTAATTTCTTTAAAAAATGTGCAGTAATTTCTTTAAAAAAATGTGCGGTCACGAACCAAAAAATTGCCTCCCTTACTTCTGAAACCCCAAATACTACTACCACACTGTCCTATCTTCAAAAGAACGTGCAGTAATTTCTTTTGCATATACTGTGTTAGTGAAGCTAAGTAAATAAAGTACACTACCTTCGCTGAGCTCTGCTGCACCCCGCGGTAAATTCCTTTTGAAGTAATCTATCCATCCTGGAAAAAAAAGCGCAGCTTGCTGTTAGAGTGGCTGCAGTTTGGAATAAACAGTAAATTAAACCAGGACCATTACGAGCCAATTCTTAATTGATTAATAATCTTGGTTGCAATCAGCATAGCATAAAATCAAGTCTTGGTTGATTAAAATCAAACTGTTTCTATCACGCAACTTGAAAGCATCGTCTTGTTTTCATTTGAAAAATTGATAGAGAACAGCTAACAAGTTAACAAATCTACGGTTTATACATGTTTACGAAGTTTGGGGCAATCCTTGGAACCACATGACATACTTCGAAATATACTGTCACTGGGCTGGTAAGAGAATTTTTTTCATACTGGCTTGCACATCCCAAAAGTAGCATACATTCTATGATACACAGTTCATGGGACAACCACAGGCTAGAGAAGCAACTCACATGAAAGGCCTATCAAACAACCACCATACCATAATAAGTATAAATTCTTGACTTGACGGCTCACAGAACAGCCTCACAAACAAACATGTCTCAAGTACAAATTCTTTGCAGGTACTGAGATTAGGCGTAATCTCAGCCGCTATATCAAGGTTTACAAATACAGGTACACAATATCATCGGTGGCGTATTAAGCACGGGACAAACTGCCTACTAACGTTTCGATCGGCCAGTGCATTGTTACAATGCTACTACAGATATGGCTGACGGTGGCAGTAAATGACATCAATACATTGAGGTCATAGGGTATTATAGTTACACTTGCTCATGCACCATCGTCGTCTTCAACAGTGTTGACGCGCTCGCACTCATCGATCCATTCGCTGTATCTGCAGGACAAAGGGGTTCAATTTTCAGTTCCAGGTGTGGTGCGGATAAACCTGACGGAGTTGCAACAACGAGTAAAGAGTTATTTGTTGGATTCTGACTTACACATCAATAGCTTCAGTCAGCGCTGCACCAAAGATAACAGAGAATTAGTACAATTCTGAGAACATTAGCTGCTCAACAAGGCTAAACAACTACTCCCTCCATCCCAAAATAAGTGTCTCAAGCTTAGTACAACTTTGTATTAAAGTTAGTACAAAGTTGAGACACTTATTTTGGGACGGAGGGAGTACTTGACACTGTATTTCCTTTACAGGATCTATTATGATACAGGTTCAGTTCTGATGAATGCAGGTTTGTTTCGAGTAATTCAGTTAACTCAGACTAGGACATGATAAAATAGGGAGACACATGGCCGCTCTATTAATGACCTAGTTGATTAGTGACTAAGCCCCCAAGTGTATGAAATGGGAATGGCTGTACGAAATTTGCAGATAAGCTATACCCTGTTCCTAGAGTTGCAATCAATCAATCATTTGGTTGAGATGGAACAAAACCAATGAGATGTCTGGTGTGGAAAAAATTTCCGAGCTGAAAGTCATTCAGTATGGCATCTACGTCTACATTAGATGGTACAACCTGCGGTTGTGTGTCTAATTCATACATACCATTTGCAGTGGTGCTGAAGCTTTCCTGGCAGATTTGACAGTTAGCCTCACCAATCAGATTCTTCAAATCACTGAAGGGAAAAAGGCCAGTCACAATGTTGAATGGATAGCCATTCCAAATTAAGAAGAGAACAGGTGAAGATAGTACTAACATCCGGCACTCAACGCTGCTCCCATGGTTGCAGAATGGGCAGGAGAAGACAGTATCGAGCTTGTCCATCCTCTTCCTAGGGGGTGGCTTAGCGGCCGCCTTCCTCTTCCCCATGGCTCGACCTTTCTCCTTACTTCAAAATCTACAAAGAGCAGCAGCAGTTATAATCTGCTGTATCTATCAAATGATGATATACAACATATAACACACTACTGGAGATTCTAGTCGCGAAGAAATCATTACTGAATACATATTTTAAAAGATGCAGTAACTGTACACACAAGGGTATCCAAGTGCAGAGTAGTAGTAATTATTACTACTGTAATTATTAACCTAAAAAGCATCAAGCTATCGCGCATCATCCCTTGTACTAATAAAAATCAACCGAAATTTGTAACGACGCAAGGTATAGATCATATCATCCGCAGACCAATCCTACTCGTATCATCCACAAACTTGGATCCAGGAACACGCGACGCCACAGGGGGGCAGATCTGCCCAGAATTGGAAGGTCCCGTCCCTACCCTGGCGGAACTAGCCGATTGGTTTCACAGAGAGAATCGATGCTGCGAAGGAACAACCTAGCTAGCTGCTCATACATACATACATACCACACAGGGAGGGAGGAGACCTGGAGACCTGGCGACCTGCTTGCGAGGAAGAAGGGAAACGGCGACGGCGGCGCAGGTCCCCGATGGATTCAGGCGGCGGCGGCGGGTAGATCCGCCCCCCGGCGTTGGAGGGGAAGGGGGAAGGGGGAAGGGGAGGGACGAGGGGAGGGGAAGGTGGGGAATCGACAAGGCAAAAATTCTTCTTCTAAATATCCACAGAAAAAAAAAACATGTAAGGGCAACCTCACACGCATTCGTCGTCGTTTATCAAATTGGGACCCACCGATGTTCTCAATTTCAACTCTAGTTGCAATTTAACTTTAGAGCGTCTAGAACCGGAATGTGCAAAATCAAGGGGGCATTGAGTTCCGCGATTTCCAATCTTTCAATTAAGCAATGTGTGGCGGATGATAATTAATCTAGATTCTCTTTGTGCTAGGATTTTTCAAAGCAATGTACCATCCAAATCAAGACATTCTTGATGCTGGGCAAAAGAAGGGATCATCTTTTACATGGCAAAAGCATAGTATCCAAACATTTAAAAGAGGGTGCATTTGGCGTGTGGGTAATGGTGAATCTATTAATATTTGGAGAGACCCATATATAGGTGCCAAACAGTCCTAATAGGATGATCCTTACTCAGAGAGGTGTTGTGCTTATTGATAAAGTGTCTGACCTAGTTGATCCATTGTTGGGTCGGTGGGACGAACACTTGATTCGGGAAATTTTCTATATGGAGTAAAATTTGGAAGCTAGATGTTCCTAGTAAGGTAAAGATTTTTTTGTTGGAGGGCATTGCATCCCACAATCCAAGTGAAAGGTGAAAGGGCATGTAGCCACTAAGTATGGTTTTGGTAATTGATGACAATCTTTATGGACTAATGTTTTCAGTGAGATATATTTAAAGGTTTTGTCCATAGATGGTACCTCAAGGATATTGGATGGAATCAAGGATGAAGTCCATATATATGAAGATATATTTGCTCTAAGCTTTGGAATTAAATGACAATTTCTATGGAGCATCAAGTGCATTGAATCTTATATGAAGATATGTTTCATAGTGATGCTTGAATTGCATTTGGGTTGTTTTGTGAAGAATGCCATCAAAGCATCCGAAGAAGTCCTCTTAGTATCCTTCTCTAGATACCCTGTGCTGACGGGCTTGTACTGTGCGCACGAGGTCGAGTGTGAACTCTCTGGATACCACATGCTCATGGGGACTAGGTGCTGTCTCTCGAGATCCCATGCCCAGTGAGGTTTCAAGTTGCTTTTCGAGAACACGGGCTTGAGAGAATAATCAAATAGAAGAATTCAAGTTATGGTTTCAATACAAGATCATGGTAAGCTCATGTGTTGGGTTTTTCGTTGATCAAGTCTTGAAGCAAGCAACTAGAGTGAAGAATTCATTATGCATCTCAAGAGATTACTATGGATTTTTAGAAGAGCATGTAGTAACCGAGATGATATTCATAGTGGAACTTGATATGGTCATGAAAGAGTCTTTGGTGATATAGTCTTGAAGCAATGAAGGGAAATGATGAATTCATTGTGGCTTTTAAGAAACCAAGATGGGGCATGAAGTAAAGATGTTGGTTGACCAAGATGAAGCTCGAAGATATGGTCAACTCACAAAGTGCAATCTTTGTACCATGTGGGATCAAGTGATCTAGTGGTATGGTAAGTAATTGTGAATTGTTCTTTGTTACCTAACCCATACTATGTGTTTGTTATGTCTATGTGGGTTGGTGTTTCTCATGGGCTTGCATCAAAAGGAAAGATTTCAAGTAGCCTATGTGTGGATGACATCAAGTGGTGATGGTCATCGGGTTCGTGGAGTCCAAGTGCAAGATGAGAAGCCGGAGGTTATATGCTTTGAAGTTTGCGGTCCACATCATGATAATGTGCATGTGAAGATGGTCTTAAATTAAGGCTTCCCTCATTGCAATATGAGGAAGCATTTCGAGTATCTTCACCAAGTGATTGTGGACAAGAAAAAGATTCCAACTCGAGGCAGGCATTAAAGTCATCATCAAGCTCAAGTGTAATATGCAAGGCAAAGGTATAACTTAGCTAGGTTTTCCTAGTTTTGTTGGTCTCATGGTGCTTGGAGGGAGACCACATTATAGGTTGACAGTCATACTATCAAGAGGGACTTTCGGGCGAGTAGCTTGATCACGTCGCATGTAGAGAGCTCAAACCTTTTCATGATTTGCACCATTCTTTCTTTTTGATCTTTGGTGGTTCTCTATGTTAGGACCTTGGGATTTTCCACGGCTTTAAAACGAGCCCAAGATCAATGAATTCAGAGTTCGTATGCCAAAATTGTGCATGTTTTAGTGGGCTGTTGTCGGTGTCAAAACCGGCAGATCTCGGGTAGGGGGTCCCGAACTGTGCGTCTAGGCGGATGGTAACAGGAGACAAGGGACACGATGTTTTACCCAGGTTCGGGCCCTCTTGATGGAGGTAAAACCCTACGTCCTGCTTGATTAATATTGATGATGTGTGTTACAAGAGTGGATATACCACGAGATCAAGGAGGCTAAACCCTAGAAGCTAGCCTATGGTATGATTGTTGTTCGTCCTATGGACTAAAGCCATCCGGTTTATATAGACACCGGAGAGGGCTAGGGTTACACAGAGTCGGTTACATGAAGGAAATATGCCCTAGAGGCAATAATAAAGTTATTATTTATTTCCTCATATCATGATAAATGTTTTATTATTCATGCTAGAATTGTATTAACCGGAAACATGATACATGTGTGAATACATAGACAAACATATAGTCACTAGTATGCCTCTACTTGACTAGCTCATTAATCAAAGATGGTTATGTTTCCTAACCATAGACATGTGTTGTCAGTTGATTAATGGGATCACATCATTAGAAGAATGATGTGATTGACATGACCCATTCCGTTAGCCTAGCACTTGATCGTTTAGTATATTGCTATTGCTTTCTTCATGACTTATACATGTTCCTATAACTATGAGAAATATGCAACTCCCGTTTACTGGAGGAACACTTTGGGTACTACCAAACGTCACAACGTAACTGGGTGATTATAAAGGAGTACTATAGGTGTCTCCGAAGGTACATGTTGAGTTGGCGTATTTCGAGATTAGGTTTTGTCACTCCGATTGTCGGAGAGGTATCTCTGGGCCCTCTCGGTAATGCACATCTTTATAAGCCTTGCAAGCAATGTGACCAAATGAGTTGGTTACGGAATGATGCATTACGGAACGAGTAAAGAGACTTGCCGGTAACGAGATTGAACTAGGTATTGGATACCGACGATCAAATCTCGGGCAAGTAACATACCGATGACAAAGGGAACAACGTATGTTGTTATGTGGTTTGACCGATAAAGATCTTCATAGAATATGTAGGAACCAATATGGGCATCCAGGTTCCGCTATTGGTTATTGACCGAGAATAGTTCTAGGTCATGTCTACATAGTTCTCGAACCCGTAGGGTCCGCACGCTTAACGTTACGATGACAGTTTTATTATGAGTTTATAAGTTTTGATGTACCGAAGTTTGTTCGGAGTCCCGGATGTGATCACGGACATAACGAGGAGTCTCGAAATGGTCGAGACATAAAGATCGATATATTGGAAGCCTATATTTGGACATGGAATCGTTCCGGGTGAAATCGGCATTTTACCGGAGCACCGGGAGGTTACCAGAACCCCCCGGGGGTTATTGGGCCTACATGGGCCTCGAGGGAGAAGAGGGAAGGAGGCAGGAGGGGGCCGCGCGCCCCTCCCCTTCCTAGTCCGAATAGGACAAGGGAAGGGGGGCGGCGCCCCCCTTTCCTTCCCCTCTTCCTCCTCTTTCCCCCCTTCTCCTATTCCAACTAGGAAAGAAGGGAGTCCTACTCCCGGTGGGAGTAGGACTCCCCCCTTGGCGCGCCCTCCTTGGCCGGCCGCCTCCTCCCCCCTGGCTCCTTTATATACGGGGGCGGGGGCACCCCATAGACACACAAGTTGATCTACGGATCGTTCCTTAGCCGTGTGCGGTGCCCCCCTCCACCATATTCCACCTCGGTCATATCGTCGCGGAGTTTAGGCGAAGCCCTGCGCCGGTAGAACATCATCATCGTCACCACGCCGTCGTGCTGATGGAACTCATCCCCGAAGCTTTGCTGGATCGGAGCCCGGGGATCGTCATCGAGCTGAACGTGTGCTGAACTCGGAGGTGCCGTACGTTCGGTGCCTGGATCGGTCGGATCGTGAAGACGTACGACTACATCAACCGCGTTGTGCTAACGCTTCCGCTTACAGTCTACGAGGGTACGTGGACAACACTCTCCCCTCTCGTTACTATGCCATCACCATGATCTTGCGTGTGCGTAGGAATTTTTTTGAAATTACTACGTTCCCCAACATTACAATGGTAGAAAATCTACATATCCGTATCGCCAAGCTTGCCTTCCACGCCAAGGAAAGTCCCATCCGGACACGGGACGAAGTCTTCAATCTTGTATCTTCATAGTCTGGGAGTCCGGCCGATGATGATAGTTCGGCTATCCGGACACCCCCTAGTCTGGAACTCCCTCAGCTGCTGCACGCTGTTTCTGGGTACCCCGTGGGCACGGGGTTTGAGCCATGGGTACGGGGCCTCCGTGCGCACGGGGCTTGTACCGTGGGCACGGGGTGTCCAGGAAGTGTCTGTTGGAGCCACAACGACTAGTTTGGGGGGTTGGCTATAAAAGAGCCCTTCCTCCCCACCGGTTTGGCGGTTGTTCATGCACTTTCTAAACATCATTTTGAGTATCATACCACCTCTCCCAAGCCCCTATCTCCCCTCTATATGAAGGGGGGGTTATATATGGATCTTGGAGTAATTTGTTAATTTCCTTCACTGTATCCGCTCTCTTCAATCTCCCACTTTCTTGAGTTGCATCTTGTGAGATTGAGATAGTGAGTTGAGCATTCGTTGCTTGACCTTGCTTTGCATTTGTTGCATTGGTTTTAGCTCCCCGCATCGATTTGTTCGAGTGTGAGCCCGTGAGTTTATTACTCTTGGAGGCTTCTGCCTCCTAGATGTTTTGGTGATTTATTGAGAAGTTTATGAAGAGGCTTAGGTGGCCAAGGTTCCCCCAGAAGCTTCCTTTTGTGCTGTGCTCCGGGGAAGGGTGTGAAGTGGCCTAGGTGGTCAAGTTCCTCCAAAAGCTTTCCGTGTTTGTGATGTGCTCCAGGGAAGTTTGTAAAGGTGTGGTGGTCGCCTTCAAGACCAACCCCGAGTGAATTGGGGCTCATCCGTTAGGGGTTACTCGAAAGGGCGAATATGATGAGTCACTTGGTGGAGCCCCCGGACCTTTGGCTTTGGCTTCGGCATCGCTCCAACGGAGATTAGCACTCTCACGAGTGTGAACTTCGGGATATATCCGCGCGCCACGACTCACTTGTAGTTATCTCATACCCACACCCTTTACTTTCCACAATTCATATTTGCTCATATTTGATATATCTTGTGCTATTTGAATTCCTTACTTGTTCCTACATTTCCATATCTTGTGATATAGTTTGTGCTTGCTAGTTTCTTGAAGTGCCTTTCTTGTTAGCATTAGGTTGTTGGTGCACTTAGTTGAGCCTAGCATATTTAGTATTTGTGCTTGAAAAGTATTCGTTTAGTTTAATTCTGCATTAGGATAAAGCCAAATCCGTAAAAGTTTTAAAATGCCTATTCACCCCCTCTAGTCGTCATCTAGATCCTTCTAAAGGTGTATTGGTAAACCGTCATATAGGTACAAATCCCTTGTTCCAATCTGCCATACGTATAATGAAGATATTTCACATCTCCTGTTTGAATGCTCGCTGACTGAATAATTGTTCGGGATGGTAGTGGAATATTTGTGGCAACTTCTTGTTCATTTATCCAGAATGCTTCCGAAGCATCGACAGTAGAAGGTTTGGCCATGAAGCTCGGTTTAAACCTGCTATCCTCTATTGGTTTTAGCCAAATTATCACATAATCTGATTCCACTAAAGTTATTGACGCATGCACTAGTAGTACCTGGTGGAATGAAGGTTCCCTTATTCTTGCTGATTGCATGGATTTGATTGCTTCAATTGAGAACATCCAGTTTTGTCATTGTTTACGAAAAGCAAATTCAGTTGCTCACGAGATAGCTAGGCATAGTTTCGAGAACAATTTATCTTGTATTTGGGTCAATGAACCCTCATATTTTATTCTTGCTTCTCTTGTGAATGATGTAAGAATTATTTGATTATCACTAAAGTAAGCCATGATGACGTTCTCTAAAAAAAGGATATAGAATAGCAAGTTGCATTACTGGGATAGATGCTCTCCTTATATAGGCAAAATACCAACAGACATCGGCCAAACGGGAGCACATGCGTGGGCACGTGTGCTAAGTAGATTTCCCCATTAATGACTAAAGGAAGAAGTACAACTATCCCAACCGCCTACCTTTCTAGCTAGAAGCCCTAAGGCCCGCTACCACTCCACTTGTTTCCCGTCGGGGAGGCCATGGGTCCCTTCTTCCTTTGTCTAACGCTCTGGTGGCGGGAGGAGGGGGGGTGTAGAATAGGATCTACACCGCGACATTATAGTTGAGTCTCTTTGGGCTAGACTATTGTTCCTAGAGGCGGCACGTGGTGGTGATGGTGACCTCATGCAGATCGAGAATAAGGTTCCCCCAACCCCCGGCCGACCTTGTCGGGGCGTAGAGAAGGACAAGGAATCGTCTAGTCATTGATCTCTTAGAGTGGTGGATTTGGTTGTGTCTTTTATACATGTGGTCGACGGAGTGGACGATTCGTGTATGTCCTCTAGCTACTTCTTTGACGACAATGTTTGGCTTAGATTCGGTATCGTCGAAGAACTTGTGAGTTAGGTATACCTGGGTTTGTTTAGTAAGATCTGGAGTAGTCGCCCAACCCTCGTCGCCGACTTCCTCTCTAGGATAGCAATGCGTTGCCCAAATCATTGTCGTTGACTGTGTGGCTTCGACCAACGACTTCCTGAGCATTGCGTCAACAATGATTCCCTGGCTTCAATGGTGTTTAGGAGGTGTAGAGGCGACATTGAGCTTCACTCGCAACACGCCGCCAAGTTTAGGAGGAAGACAATGTCGATTTCTCCGAGGACATGTTTGTAGTATTTAATTTCTGTAAAAGTGATCTAGTAAGGGTTGGTTTAATTTAATACATGTCCTTTAGCCTTTTCATAATAATAAATAAGTAGTAAACAAAAATATTATTAAATATGCAAAGAACAAGCAATGACACAATCTAAAATAATATTTCTTTGTAGCGACTAGGGGAAGGATCCCTTCATGAAGCGACCATGAGGCATGCTTTGTTAATCCTCTCCCCAAAGGAATTGAAGATTTAGGGGATTTTGATTTGCAAGTATTTTATTCCCGGTTCGTTCCTTTCAATCATCTTCATGCCCTGACGACGTGTTTGGGTCATGGAAGTTAGAGAAGGGGAATGGGAGTTGAAGGGTGAGGAGATTAACAGTCTATTTGCCGATTAGAGGGCATGAGAGTTTAAGTGGGAAGGGGAATTGAAGTTCACGGAGGCAACTCCTATCGTTTTTCACCGGGTTCCCTTTCCCACTTGTTTCTTTCTTCGGCTTCCACCGACTTCCTTTGTTTTTTTTCCTTTTCTCAACACATGTCAAGTTTTTTCATACACTTGTATAATATTATCCGTACACATTAGGTAATTTTTTTATACGCAACTAACATTTTCAAATACATTTCTCCGAACATCTGTTTGATGTCTTTTTTTTTCATACACATCTAAAACTTTTTTATACGCGTTTAACATTTTTTTTGCGGGCCGCGTTTAACATTTTTAAAATCCATTTTTTCCCAATCCATGTTTTTGAGCATATCAACGCGGACGCTAATTCGATTTTTTTACACCACGTGAACATTTTGTTTTAAATGTGTGATGAACTTTTCAATATCTAATAAGTAATGTAATGTATAGAATACATTGCATGCTTGATACTCATGACTAATGTAATGGACACCTCCTGAAGCAAAGCCTTCTTCGCGAGAATCTTCAGAGTGCCCTTTTTTTTTTTTTGAGAATCGAATCTTCAGAGTGCTTGGGATACAAAATGGTGGGATGTGAAAATGGGCACCTCCGTTGGGCCGGCCCACGTATCCCTCTCCCTGAAAAAAAAGTCGCCCTAGATGGTGGAGCAATGATCACTCATCAAAAAATAAAAATAAAAATGGTGGAGCAATGCGGTGTTGCGCTTCAAATGCCAACAGCTGCCGTCCCAGCGTAATGCGGTGTTGCTGGGTTGATCCCCCCCTCCCCCCAGCAACAAACCGCCGCGCGATTCGCCGCCGGCGTCGAGGCCTCGGCTCCCGGCTCTCTCGCCAGCGCGCGCGCCCCCGATGGGCTCCCTGTTGAGCAGCCTCTGGGGCAAGCCGGAGCCCCCGCCGCCCATGGTGCTCGTGCCGCCGCTCTTCGACTACCCGCCCATCGCCGCCCGCACCAGGTCCGTCTCC